TTTGTTATTGAGCTGCATGAGCTGCTTGTAAATCTTGGAGATTAATCCTTTGTCAGTTGCTTCATTTGCAAATATTTTCTCCTATTCTGAGGGTTGTCTTTTGGTTTTGTTTATGGTTTCCTTTGCTGTGCAAAAGCTTTTAAGTTTCATTAGGTCCCATTTGTTTTTGTTTTTATTTCCATTTCTCTAGGAAGTGGGTCAAAAAGGACCTTGCTGTGATTTATGTCATAGAGTGTTCTGCCTACGCTTTCCTCTAAGAGTTTGATAGTTTCTGGCCTTACATTTAGGTCTTTAATTCATTTTGAGTTTATTTTTGTGTATGCTGTTAGGGAGTGTTCTAATTTCATAAACATTTGTGTACAGGTCTCTGTGTGTTCTTCTAAATTTGTGTTCTTTAAATTCTTATAAACATTTGTGTACATGTCTCTGTGTGTTCTTTAGTTTCTTGGGTAAACACCTAGGAGTGGAATGGATATCATAAATGTATGTTCAGTTTTATGAGAAATGACTAAACTGCTTTCCTAAGGGACCATCATTTTACATTCCCATCAGCGATGGATGAGTTCCACTGTTCCTTTTCACCAACACTTGTCAATACTTTTTATTTTTTGCTGTTCTAATAAATAAGCATGATGACTCACTGTGGGTGTAATCTGCATTTCAGTAATGACTAATCATGTAGAACATCTCTTCATGTGTTTATTTGCTGTCCGTATAACCTCTTTGGTAAAATGCCTGTTCAAATCCTTTGCCCATTTTAAGTAGCTTGTTTGTTCTTACTGTAGAGTTTTGAGAGATATTTATATATTTTGGATACAAGTCCTCTGTATTTGCAAATATTTTCTCCTAGTCTGTGTGGGTGTTTTGGTTTTGTTTTGTTTTCTTTTCTTTTTCATTCTCTTAATGGCTTTCACAAAGCAAAGCTTTAACTGATAAATTCCAAAGTCATTTTTTCTTTTATCAATTATGCTTTTGGTGTCATAACTAAGAACTCTTTGCTGAACTCTAGGTAACAAAGATCTTCTATGTTTTCTCCCAAAAGTTATATGGTTTTAAGTTTTACATTTAGATCTATGATCCATATAATCGTGATTTTTCTTTATACTGTCAACATGGTAGATTGCATTGATTTGAGTTTTCAAATTTTGGACTTGTGTTACAAAACCCCACTTGGTCTTTTTATATATTGCTGAATTTGATTTGCTAATATTTTACTGAAGATGTTTGTTTCTATGTTCATAAGGGCTACTGGTCTGTAGTTTTTTCTTGTACCATCTGTCTGGTTTTAGTATCAGGGTAAAGCTTGCCTCGTGGAATGAGTTGGGAAATGCTCCTTCCTCTTCTGTCTCTAAAAGAGATTGTATAGAGTTGGTCCTATATCATTTTTAAATATTCAGTAGAATTTGTCAGAGAAACCTAAAGATTTAAACAGATACTTGACCAAAGAGGATATACAGACAGCAAATAAACACAAGAAAAGATGGGCTTGGACATTTCCTTTCCATAAAGTATTTAAGTACAGATTTAACTTCAATAGTTAGAGGAATGTCCAGGTTCTGTATTTTTTCTTGGATGAGTTTTGGAAGTTTGTGTTTTTTCAGTAATTGGTACTCTTTATCTAAGTTGTCAAGTTTATGTGCATAGTAATTGTTCATAGTGGTCCCTTAGTATTGTTTTAAATATCTTCTGTATCTATAATGCTATCCCCTCTTAAGTTTCTGTAATTGGTAATCTGTGCATTTAATTTTTTTTCTCTGTCAGTCTTGCTTGAGGTTTATCAATTTTATTAATCCTTTCCAAGAATCAGCTTTCGGTTCCATTGATTTCTTTTTCCTATTTTTCTATTTTCAATCTCACTGACTTCTCTTTTTTATTTCCTTCCTCCTGCTTGCTTGCTTTGTATCTAGTTAGCTCTTTTCTTTTTCTAGTTTCTTAAACTAGAAGTTTATTGATTTGAGACCTATCTCCTTTTCTAACATAAGCACTTGGTGCTATAAATTTCCCCCTCAGCACTGCATTATCTGCATCCTACAAATTGATGTTTTATATTTTTATTTTTGTTCAGTTCAAAATATATTCAGGGGAGATTACCTTGAGACTTCCTCTTTGGCTCACTGAATATTTAGAAGTGTATTTCCTTCCAAGTGTTTGGACATTTTCTAGTTCTCTTTTTGTTACTGGTTTCCAGTTTGATTCCATTATGGTCAGAGAAAACAGTTTGTATTTCATTTCTTTTATAATATTTTTCAGCTTGTTTTATGATTCAGGATATGGTCTATCTTGTGAAAGTTTCATGTGCACTTGGAAAGAATGTGTATTGAGTATTTTATAAATGAATCAATTAAAACAAGTCACTGACAGTATTGTTCAGTTTATATTTTTACTGTCTGTCTACCTTTTCTATCAAATACCGAGGAGTGTTGACGTCTTCAACTGTAATTGTGTATTTGTTTCTCCTTTCAGTTCTGTCAGTTTTTGCTTCATGTAATTTGAAGAATGACTGTTCATGTATAAGTATTTAAGGTTTGTTATGTCTTCCTGGAGAATGGACCCCTTTATCACGATGTAGTGTACATCTTCATCCCTGAGAATCTACCTTATTCTTTTTTTTAAATTTAATTTACTTATTTTTTGGTTGTGCCAGGTCTTAGTCGCAGCAGGAGGGCTCTTTAGTTGCAGCTCACCAGCTCCTTAGTTGCAGCTCGCAGGCTCCTTAGTTGCGGCATGCATGTAAGATCTAGTTCCCTGACCAGGGATCGAACCCGCATCCCCTGCAGTGGGAGGTGGATTCTTAACCACTGCACCACCAGGGAAGTCCCGAGAATCTTCCTTATTCTTAAATGTTTCTTTTCTATTCTTACTTTTAACCCACCTATGACATATTTAACGTAGGTTTTTGTAGGGACCCTGGTGGTCCAGTGGTTACAACTCTGTGCTTTCACTGCTGAGGGCATGGGTTCGATCCCTGGTCGGGGAACTAAGATCCTGTGAGCCTCACGGCATGGCCAAAAACAAACAAAAAAAGTAGGTGTTATATCATGTCAATAGCACATAGTTGGGGTTTCTTTTATTTGGAGTGTTTAGGCAGTTTAACGTTGTTATTGATATGGATGTCGTTTTGGTGTTTGTCTTCTGTTTGTTCTGTTTTTTATCCTCTATTTTCCCTTCCCTGCTTTCTTCTGGAGTATCTGAACACTTTTTAGTATTCCTTTTTAACTTACCTATTCTCTCTTTTTTTTTTTTTTTTTAGATGTTGGGGGTAGGAGTTTATTAATTAATTTTTGCTGTGTTGGGTCTTCGTTTCTGTGCGAGGGCTTTCTCTAGTTGTGACAAGCGGGGGCCACTCTTCATCGCGGTGCGTGGGCCTCTCACTATGGTGGCCTCTCTTGTTGCGGAGCACAGGCTCCAGACACGCAGGCTCAGTAGTTGTGGCTCACGGGCCTAGTTGCTCCGCGGCATGTGGCATCCTCCCAGACCAGGGCTCAAACCCGTGTCCCCTGCATTGGCAGGCAGACTCTCAACCACTGCACCACCAGGGAAGCCCCCTCCTAGTTTTAATGTTTGGTTACACTTTGTAGTTTTCCGTCCTTTCGAAGAGTGTTCACCCTTATTTCAGAGCATTTGTATAGTGGCTTCCTTAAAGTCCCTTAATAATTCCAACATCTGTGGCACCTCACTGTTGGCATCTGTTGAATGTCTTTTCTCAGGAGGATTGAGATTTTCCCACTTCTTTGTATGCTGAGTATTGAGAAGTGCAAGCTGAGCAATTTTGTGTTGCATTCTGGATATATTGGATGTTTGAATACATCAGATTCTGGGTCTTGTTTAAATTAAATGTACTGGTTGAGTGGTACTTTGAATTCTGATCTTCTTGACCAGTCTGCCTGCTACCATTTACCTTTCAGAGTCTGAAAATAGTTGTTGCATTCATTCTGTCCTGGTTTTATAGCTAAATTCAGTAGACTGCATGGAGTGTGCTTCCTCCATCTTACCTGGAAACAAACCTGTCTTGATAGGCCAATTAATTAAGCCCATAATTTATAAAAATTAAGCCTGCGGTTTTTATATAGCTGATCTTATCCATTTCTGACAGCTCGATCACATTTATGTTACTGAACATTCTTTTCCTTGTGTCACTGCCCACTGTGACACAGGCCCCTTATATACCTGGGCCCTTTGGCTGTACTACACTTTCCTGTTGTCTGTCCTATGTCCCATCCCACCCAGTGACTAGTCATTTCCCTCTTATCTTCTTTCAGCCAAGAGAAGGTTGGAATTTTCCAAAAGGAACTTTGTAGAGGAGGCAGGATGAAAAGTAAACTCTGTGAATTTGGAGAGTGATAAGTCCAGCTCTGCACAGCACTGCCCAGCCTGGAGAGCCCCTGCATGTCCTTTTCTCACCCCTTAGAGACAACTAGGCCAGGCTTCTTTTGACCCATTTCACAGCTGAGTCAACAGGAGTTTTAGGTATTTCAAGCGATCTCCTCCAGTTTTAGAGAAGCAGAATTAGGACCAGGTAGATTTCCTGGCCCCAAATCTAATGTACTTACTGTAGTTTTGTGCCACAGTTTGACAACTAATGAGTCAGTGATTCTGTGATTTGGCTAACCCAACTTCTAGAACATTGGCCCTGTGCATTTTCCACAGCATGCTGTGGCCTGAGATTAACAGCCTGCCGCAGACCTTTGGATCTTCCCCTCAGCCAGGTGTGGGTGGCACCCCCAATCTGGTAGGGTTCACAGTTCTTCCCAGGATCTCATTGGTTTGCCCTTCCATGAGCTTCTATTAAATATCTACTATAGTTCTGGTACAGCCCCAAGCCCATGAGATAGGAGGAGGAATAAAAGCATTCTCAGACTCCTGGTCCCCATGATCCCAGGGGGTCACCTGGGCTCTCTGAAGCTCATGGGGCCTGCCGGACAGCTTTAGGGTGAAGTGTCAGGGATCTGAGCTCACAGTGGTCTCCTTTCCCTCCAGTCCTCCAGGCCTCCCATGAGCAGGATAAAGAAGCCCTTACCCGCTCCTTCCAGGAGGCCAAGGCGGCCCTGCAGGTGAGACGGGTTGGGCCATGTCAGTCTCTGTGATGTGGCCACCACACTATTATATTAGCTCAGGAGGACCTGGTCTGAGATAAGGGTTGGCCTGTTTTTCAAGGACCGCTGGGAGCATCTTGGAGACTTCATGGGCCTGGGGCCACAGTGTGATTAGAGCGATGGGTGGATGCACAGGGACCTGTGGAAGCAGGAGAGGAGGTGTCCGAGCCAATCTGGCTGGTCAGGGACTTCCAAGAGGGATTGAGATCTAAGCTGGAGTCTGAGGGTGGGTTAGAATTTTTCAGATGAAGAAGGGTAGGAAGAGTGCCTTAGGTAGGAAAAATAAAATAAAAAGTGTTTAAAGCCATGGAGGAAAGGGAAAAAATATAGAGTACCTGTGGAACTGAAACAAGTCCAAGATGACTGGGTATAGAGTATAAGTGGGAGATAGCTGAGGCCAGAGAGGGAGGCAAGGAGCAGACGGTGGGAGTCTGTGAGCCATAGTAAGGGGTGCACTGTCCTAAAGGCAATGGGCAAGGTTCGGGTGGAAGAAATCCCTGGCAGGGGAGCAGTATGGAGACAGGAATGCACCTGGCAGCTGGAAGAGTGATGTGACGTTGGCTGCAGGAGAGGCGTGTAGAGGGAGCAGTGAGAGAAGAGAAAGGGCAAGGACACCGAGCCCGGTTTGCATGTATTTTGAATGCCAGACTACCACCGGCCTTGAATGCCCTGACATCGTCCCCAAGGGTATGGAGAGGTGGGGCTGTGTGTTTCAAGCAGTGGTTGAAGTAGCTAGAGCCTGCACTGTTGGGCAGAGCAACAACAGACTGAAGAACCCAATACTGACCCCTCTCTGTGGGGTGGAGAAGTCCACCTCCAGCCTTATGGGCCAGGGGTTCATCATCTCCATCCCACTCCCTTCTCCAGGAGACCACCGACAGACTGACCGCACAGCTGGAGGCCTTCCAGGCCAAGGTGAAGAGGGTAGAGGAGTCCATCCTAAGTCAAGACTACAAGAAGCACATCCAGGTAGGCAGCAGTTCACCCGCAGCTTCTCCTTCTTCCATCTCCAGGGAGGTCCAGGTCTGGGTAACAGGAAAGGCCAGTCCCTCTTCAAGGACAGGGCTCAGACCTGACACTCTTACCTTCACAAGGGTCTGGAAGAAACAGTGTCCCCGTGTCACTGAGGGGGAAGGTAAGGTTCAGAGAGAGGCATATAGGATGGTCAAGAGCCCAGTCTCTGGACTCAGAACTAGGTGCAAAGAGCAAACCTACCACTTAGCACAAGCGACTTGACCTCTGTGAACCACGGTTTCCCCATGTGTGATGGTGTGAGCACAACATGCACTATTGAATAGAGTAAGATAAAGCACATTAAGCACTTTCCATGGGCCAAGAGAGGGAGGTGACTTGTGAAAGTCAGAGCTGGGGGCAGAGTGGGGAGGAGGGAGGTCGCCCGTGCCCCGCTGCCCCCTCTGCCGGATGGTCTGCTGAGATCGCTCTGTGCTCCTGTCTAGGAGTACGGGAGCCCCAGCCAGTTCTGGGAGCAGGAGCTGGAGAGCTTACACTTTGTCATCGAGATGAAGAACGAGCGAATCCACGAGCTAGACAAGCGGCTCATCCTCATGGAGACAGTGGTCCGTGGTTGGCAGCGGCTGGTGGGGGCTGGTAGCGGGGGCAGCTCATGCTTCTACTTTCTGGGCACTTCCTCTGTCAGGCGTGCAGAGGGAAGGCACTTTGAGGAGGGCCCAGCCTGGTCCATACCAGCTGTGACCTGCCACCTGTGCCGGCCCTTGAGCCGCTGAGGCTGGTCTGGGTCCAACAGTGCCTCCTTGTCATCCGGGTCCTATACATTTCTTGACTGCTCATGTTGCTGTCACCTGGGTGACGCTGGGCAGGTACCCGGGCTAATCAGGAGGGGCTGGCAGATGTCACAGGTCAGGCAGGGGCTGAGGAAGAAGTCAAGGCTGAAAAAAAAAAAAAGTCAGACAGATTTGGAAAGCCAGAGTCAGCAAGGACAGGCCTGGGCAGTGGTGGGCATTGGGGACACAGGTGGCTTTGTCTCCAGGAGAAGGGAGGCCTTGGGAGCCTAGGGTTGAATCCAAACGGATTATGTTACGTTGTCCTGGAAGAAGTTCCCTGTCCTCTTGTGTGGCGCACAACCTAAATTTTAAATCAGACCATCTCAGAGCTTCCCTATAAATTTGTTTCAACCATTTCTGTGGAATAGCATAACAGATACACTTACATTTTTATACATTAGATACTTCCGACTTTTGGAGAACCAAAAGACTCCTGTGAACTGATGGAGATTTTAAATAGTAGTGGCGCTCTTCTTTTTTTAATACTCATCTGGCAAAGCGAAAAGCTGGCAGTCCTGTGTTCATGCCTTAGCTGTATTGTTCCAAGTAATCTTATTGCTTCACGAAATGTGACATTTGGTCTCAAGTAAATCAGTGTTTTCAGTGAGCACAGATAAGAGGGAGGTGACAGCACACATTGTGTCGAGTGAGGTTGGTGGCTTTCTGAGCTCGCTCTTGTTTGTCACAGAAAGAAAAAAACCTGCTGTTGGAGGAGAAAATCACCACCCTGCAGCAGGAGAACGAGGACCTCCATGCCCGAGGCCGCAACCAGATGGCTGTGTCCAGGTAGCTGCTCCCACCCCCCTCCTCCCATCCCCACCGCTTTTTTTGTGAACTTCCAGTTGGGAGAGTCTCCAAGAGGCCCTGGGAATGGATTGACGTGGGCCCAGGCCTGTCTGGGGAATGCGGCTCCTCTTTGCTTGGGGGGTCAGCAAAGGGAAATCCCAAGGGACCGGCTCTGCCCAGAAACAGAAGTCACAGGGCTGATTAATATCTGTTTGTCTCCATCCTGGCTAAGTGGGCTTCATGGGAAAGCCCAATCCAGGAAGAAGGAACAGGAAGCGTAGGGTTCAAGAGGCCAAATGAATGAATGAATCGGTTGTAAGGGATCCGTAAATAAGAACTCAGATCACGTGTCGGATGTAATTTGTTGACTACACATTATCTCATCGAATCCTCGTAATTACTCTAACAGCCAGTCCTGTTATCATTCCCATTTTACAAATTCAGCAAGAGTGAATACCTTGTCCAGAGTTACACGTCTCAGTGGTGGAGCAGATCTGAACCCAGAGCTGTCTGCTAAACTTCAGACAAGCCTAGAATGGGACACTAGGGCCGTCTGTTCAGTTCCCCCAACTGGTTCAGAGGCTGAGAAAAGGCCAGGGTGGGAGTGGGGCTTGGGGGGGGGGGGGGGGCGGTGTCTGAGGGCCACACTCCTTGGTCAACAGCTTTTTTTTCAACAGACCAACAAATTACATCCGACACATGATCTTATTCTCATTTACGGATCCCTTACAACCGATTCATTCATTCATTGGGCCTCTTGAACCCTAAGCTTCCTTTCCTTCTTCCTGGATTGGGCTTTCCCGTGGAGCCCACTTAGCCAGGATGGAGACAAACAGAGTTGCCTTTTGGGACAGGCAGACGGGGCGGTGGGACCCCGGGGAAGGCTTCCTGGAGAAGTGGGCTGGTCGCTGCAGTTGATGGGAGACCCCGAGGGGCGGTTCCCCGCAGGCAACCCTGGGCTCTGTCTGTGTCCACAGGCAGCTCTCTGAGGACCTGCTTCTCGCCCGAGAGGCCCTGGAGAAGGAGTCGCAGTTGTGCCGGCAGCTCCAGCAGGAGAAGGAGCAGCTGCTGTACCGGGTCCTCGGGGCCGACGCCTCCCCCGCCTTCCCGCTGGCCTCTCTCACCCCCACTGAGGTCTCCTACCTCGCCACATAGCGCCTGGACCGCCGGGATGCTGTGGTCACAGCTTTCTCTCGAGGACTTGGCAGAGAAAACAGCAGGGGCCTCTTGTCCCTAGGAGGGGACAAGGGTGGGAGTGAGATGGGGAGCCAGGATGTGCGGCCAGTCAGCCCTGGGGGCTTGGGCCACGTACACTCACCCTCGGGGCTTCAGAGGCCCCTCAAGTTGGCTCAGGGGACAAACAAGAAGAGCCCTTTCCTCCCTCCCCTTCTGTCTGTTCAGATCGGGGGGTTCTGAGGCTTTCCCCAGGGGCAGCCATGCCATATTGGTCATCTGACCAAGAGGAGACAAGCCACTGGTCCTCACTTCCCGCAGCCATCCCCCCAAGCCCCACTCCCGCCCCGGCCTTTTCTCAGCCGCTGAACCGGTTGGGGGAACTGAACAGACGGCCCTAGTGTCCCATTCTAGGCTTGTCTGAAGTTTAGACTAGGGGCTGGGGGGCAGGGGAGGACAGGGGCCACATGCTGTGAATCAAACTGGGGCGGGTGAGTGGCTGGGAGGGGGGCACTGGAGGCCCTGCCGACTGGGCAGTGAATCGGGCATGGCACCGGTCCCAGGCCCAGAATCCGGTCAGTCTAGGGGTTACCGGCAGAGCTGCTGCTCCTGGACCGGGCAAGGCTCACTGCCCTGCACTCCCGGTCCCTCGGCCTCAGTGCCATCAGGACACGGGGGCCACCTAGTGGATCTAAGTACCCTCGACAGCCAGAGCTGGAACCTCATCCCTGTACTGATGAGGAAACCAAGGCGGGGGGTGGGACCCGCAGAGCCAGGACTAGGGCCTCACCTGTCATCCAGGTTTCACCTTATCATACTTTTTCTTCCTCCCCAGGCTCTGGGAGGTCATGTCTGAGACTTGGTCTTTCTCCTCCTTGCTCTGACTGCCCCCCACCCTTACGAGTGCTCTCTTTCATTCCTGCTCTCCACTTAATTCCTTCTACCACCCCTGACCCCAGGCCCACGGATCCTGGCCCTCAGCCTCCCCGTCAGTGCAAAGGGGTGGCTCGAATAACTAACCCCAGCAGGCCTGTCCAATCCTGACTGTGGATTCAAGATTCTTCTCAGGAAGTGTTGGGTCATCTGGAACCAATAACAATCCCACCCCTGTATAAGCATTTTAATTAAATGCTTTCATACACACCTCTCTCCTTGATCTGCAAAAGCTCCTCAAAGCAGGTTCTTACCCAGCTTTAGCAGAGAGCAAACTGAGATCACAGGAGCCAATGGGCCATGCCTGGGGTCCCCCAGGCCCCCGGACCATCACGTAGGAAAAGTCAACTCACAGGAACTGAGGTTTCCTCTGTCATCCCAGACTGCCTTCTTCATTCCCCCAGATGTGGGCTTCATCCATTTCTAGTTCTAGGGGTTCAGATGTGACTCTGTTTCTTCAGCCCTGGGCAAACAGGTTTTCCAGGAGCCTTGGGGACAGCTCTGGAGTGAAACACACACACACGTCTTCCTATAACTTTTCCCAAAGCCTGACTAGGATAGGCTAGTTCATTGGACGTTAATGGTCACAACCAAGAAAAGAATGGGTAGCCAAGTAATTTGGGAAACTCTAGGTTCACTCAAGTTAAACAGCTCTGCAAACCGCAGGATTTCTCAGAGCCTTTAAGATGCTAACATGCACTGCAAACTCCCAAGGAGGAAGCAAAGCGTCCAGCATCTCCTAAACATCTTTGACCAAGTTTCTCCCCCAACCTGAGCACTTCAGGCTGCAGAATGCACTTTAGAAAACATCGTTCTAATTGAGAGAGTTGAGGGCTGGAGAAGGGGCAGGTTGTGGGAAGTGGGGTTTCCCTCATGCAGCCTGTGGTGGTTGTGAGGAGGTGAACTGAGGTCCTACCCTCACCCTGGGGCAGGCAAGCTATGGAAACTAAAAAACACGTGATAGGGCTTCCCTGGTGGCCCAGTGGTTGAGAGTCCGCCTGCCGATGCAGGGGACACAGGTTCATGCCCCGGTCCGGGAAGATCCCACATGCCGCAGAGCGGCTGGGCCCTTGAGCCATGGCCGCTGAGCCTGCGCGTCCGGAGCCTGTGCTCCGCAATGGGAGAGGCCACGACAGTGAGAGGCCCACGTACCACAAAAAAAACCCAAAAAAACCCACGTGATACTGCCTTGATTTGGCCCCTGTTTTTCTGGAGAGGGTGGAGGTGGGTCCTTACTCAAGGCCTCTGCTAGGGGCAGGGATCCTTGAGGAGTAAGTCCTGGGGCCTGGGGGGACTCACCAGCAGTTCTGGGCTCCTCCTCAGGTACTGGGGCCCCACGGGCCCTGGCTTTGCTCAGGCTTGGCATAAAGGCTGGCTCAAAGGCTGGCTGTCAGAATAGGGTGAGGCCTGGAGTGAGGCCACGAGGCTGAAACAAGAGGTGAAAACAGTGATGGGCTGGCAGAGTGTAGGGGGTGAACGTGAAGGTTCTTTCTGCTCTGCAAGGGGCACCTCCTTGGCATCAAAACCACCGAGGTTCATACGGTCACCTACCCCTGCTTCTACCTACTGCTCTACACCTGGATGCCAGGGAGCAAGGGAACACAAGGACACGGGTGGTAGCTGTCCCTGGGCCCTGAAGGTTCATGGCCTGGCAGGTGTCAATGCCAGCGTCCCCGGCCCAGGTCTCTTCCACATATAGGGTGTTCCCTGCATCCTACCTGGCTTTCTTGGCGTACCTGTTCACATCGCCATGGGCCTGCTCACTGACATGAGTGGGTGGATCCAGCTGCAGAGACAAAAAAAAACCTGTCCATCAGCTGCCCCAGGTGCCATCTCTGACTGGGGCACAGTGGGCAGGTTAGAGGCACAATGTACCCCTTCAGGGAAAGGAGGAGCGACTTGGCCAAGGTCATACCTCAGTATTAGAGCACCTGAAAGGCCAGGTTCTCTGTGGAAAAACAAGCTGTTCAAGTCCCTGGGGGGAAGCTGGGGTCTCCTCCCCGACTCAAGGAGAAGCAGGAGGTAACGGCACTTTCCGGTGTGGGTTTTATTGCACTCTGCTTCTGTGGGGATGTTAAGGGGTGTTCCCTCCGCAGAGCGGGGGCAAAATTGTTTGGTAAATAGTCAAGCAAAGTGAAACTGGGGAGACTCAGACCACTGAGTCTAACACGTGTCCCTCTATGTTTTGAAGCTCCAAGGCAAATGCCTTTAAGAGACAGTGTTTTCCTAAGAACGCTTTTTTTTGGAGAAGGGGGTGGTATGATTTTTTTGGTTTTCTGCCATTCCAAGGAACACGTCTGTGGAAATGCTGGCCCAGCAAAGCCAGTGTCTCCCAGCCATCGGGGTGTTCTTTTCCCTTTGTTGGGTCTCAAGTTTCCACTTTTGACAAGTGGGAGAATAATACCTCACTCTCTCTACTTCCTAAGGCCTCTGGAGGGGCTCACCTTCAAGTCTCTGCACCTCAAATTCCGGCCCCTCCAGGAAGGTCTTTTAAGAATTCCTAAAGTCCGCATGGTTGGTAGCCTACTGCTTAGCACAGTTCTTCTTCAGATGTTTGAGGTTATGGGTTAAGTTCTTCGAGAGAAAAGAACATCACCACCACCACCTGGGGAAGGTCTGGGCCCACATGGGTTGGTCACGAAACCGTTACTAATGCATTTAGTCCATTTCCGATCACATACACACCCAGCCTCAGGGCATGAGCATTTGTTCAAGACCCATTTTCATGGGATTTGGGCCACTTTGGTCTCAGCTTGAGTGTCACCTCAGAAGACTCCCTGACCCCTATCTCAGTAGACCCTCTCACATTGTATCCTCGATAGAGCACTTAGTATTGGGTAGATGATCGTGTTTGTTCACCTCCCACTTCTTCCTCCCCATTTAGACTGTAAGCTTGCAAAGCGGGGGCAGCCATCTTTCTCTTTAATTCGTCATTGTAACCTCAGCACCTAGTTCAGCGTCTGCTCTGTGGTGGGTGCTCAATAATTGTCAGACAAATTAAAACAAATTATATATTTTTATACAATAAGCTGATAAGTAGTTCTACTTGACAAATGAGGAAACTGAGGCCCAGAAAAGGAAGTGACTTCCCCAAGGTCACTCAAAGCGGCAGTGTCAGAGTTGGGACTAGAATGCAGATTGCTCAGATTCCCAGTCAAGCCATGTCTCCCCTCTGGCTCCGGGCCCTGATCCCAAGCCTTCACTCCCACGCCCCTGCCCCGGTACGCCACCACCACATACACACTCTGCCTCCTCTTACCTTCTGCCCTGGATATTCCCAACTCAGTCCACAGCCACCTCTGGCTCACTCAGAACTACGCAGATCACACTGAAGTTCTCTCCCAGTTGGACTGATGTTGCTGAAGCTTGGATGGTGGGTTCGGGTGAGAAAGAAGGGTCTGCCATGGAGAGAAGGGGAGAGAAATGGGGACACATATGTTGAATTATTGTTAGAATGGCTGGAGTGAAGGTCTGGGTCAGAGCCTGAACAAGATGGCTGCGCAAGAGGACATGGAGCTCACGTCCCTCCCACAAACACATCAAAAATACATCTACGGGGCTTCCCTGGTGGCACAGTGGTAGAGAATCCGCCTGCCAATGCAGGGGACACGGGTTGGAGCCCTGGTCTGGGAAGATCCCACATGCCACGGAGCAACTAGGCCCGTGAGCCACAACTACTGAGCCTGCGCGTCTGGAGCCTGTGCTCCGCAACAAGAGAGGCCGTGATAGTGAGAGGCCCGCGCACCGCGATGAAGAGTGGCCCCCCCCCACTTACTGCAACTAGAGAAAGCCCTCGCACGGAAATGAAGACCCAACACAGCCATAAATAAATTTTTTAAAAAATTAAAAAAAAATACATCTACGTGTACAACAAGTCTCTCAGAATACTAACTGGAAACTGGAAGAGTTCCTGTATAACCAAGGCTATGAAAAGATTCCTGCAGAATCGGGTAGGATGGGAAGAAAAGCATTGGGTCAGCACCTGTGAGCCTGGGAGGGGACTAAGGTGAATCAGAGAGGTGGGTGCTCGCCCTGGAGAGTGAGTGGGTTGAGCCACATACTGGGTGTCCCAGTCCTGGGGTCCTACACGGAGGGGACAAGCCCTCTTGGCTGCTTGCAGAACCAGTGGGACGGACAGAAATGCTGGCAAAGCCAGGACTCCACTCATGAGGAGTACAGGGCTACCAGCCTGCCAACAGACAGGGTGGAGAGGTCTACCCTAGCAGCAACTGCCTCGCCACAATCCCCAACCTG